TTTTACAGTTTCATTGCTAAATTCTACCTAACATTTAAAGAACTAATACTAATCCTACTCAAACTATTCTGAAAAATGGAAGAGGAAAGACTACTTCCAAACTCATTCTATGAGGCCATTATTATCCTGTTACCAAAACCAGACAACACCACATCAAAGAAAAGAAAACTACAGGTCAATATCACTAATAAATATTGATGCAAAAATCCTTAACAAAATACTAAGAAACCAAAACTGACAGAACATTAAAAAGATCATTCATTTTGGCCAAATCAAGTTTGCCAAGGAATGCAAAGATAGTTCAATGTATGTATATCAATTAATGTGTTACATTATATCAGCAAAATGAAGGACAAAAAACATATAATCATTTCAACTGATGCTGAAAAAGCATTTGATAAAATTCAATGTCCCTTCATGATAAAAAAAAAAACCCTAAAATAATTGGAAATAAAAGGAACATACCTCAACACAAAAAAAGCCATATGTAACAAACCCATAGCTAGAATCATACTGAATGGGGAAAAACTGAAAGCTTTCCTCTAAGATCAAGAACATGACAAGGATGCTCACTTTCATGACTTTTTTTCATTGCAGTACTGGAAGTCCTACCCAGAGCAATCACATAAGAAAGAAATGAAGGGGATCCAAATGCAAATCAAGAGTTCAAATGATCCTTACATGCAGATGCTACAATCTTATATTTAGAAAAACCAAAGACTTTACCAAAAAACTATTAAAACTGATAAACAAATTAAGTATTGGAGGTTATAAAATCAAAATACAAAATCAGCAGCAGCATTTCTATATGCCAACATTGAACAATCTGAAAAAGAAATCAAGAAAGCTGTCCAAATTACAATAGCTACAAATAAATACCTAGGAATTAACAAAAAAAGTGAAAGACTTATACAATGAAAACTATAAGACATTAATGCAAAAAATTGAAGAACAAACAAAGAAAATGGAAAGATATTTCATGTTCACATATTGGAAGAATCAAAATCATTAAAATGTCCATATTACTCAAAGAAATCTACAGATTTAATGTAATCTCTATCAAAATACCAATGACCTTCCTCACAGAAATAAAATAAACAATCCTAAAATTTATATGGAACCACAAAAGACTTGGAATAGACAAAGCTATTGTAAGAAAAAAAAAAAATAGTGGAGGAATCACATCACCTGCCTTTAAATAATCCTACAGAGCTATAGTAACCAAAACAACATGGTACTGGCATAAAAATAGACACATAGATCAGTGGAACAGAATAAGAGATAAATCCATACATCTACAATAAACTCTTTTTTGATAAAGGTGCCAAGAATGTACATTGGGGAAGGTACAATCTCTTTAATAAATGGTGCTGGGAAAACATGATATCCATATGCAAAAGAATAAAACTAGATCCCTATCTCTCACCATCTATAGAAATCAAATCAAAATGGATTGAAGACTTAAATCTGAGACCTCAAACTATGAAATTACTACAAGAAAACACTGGGGAAACTCTCCGGGATATCAGACTGGGCAGATTTCTTGATTAAGCACAAGCACAGGCAACCAAACCAAACATGGACAAATGGGATCACATCAAGTTTAAAAGCTTCTGCACAGCAAAAGAAACAATCAAAAAAGTGAAGAGACAACCCACAGTGTGAGAAAATATATGCAAACTACTCATCTAACAATGGATTAATAACCAGTATATGGAACTCAAACAACTCTACAGGAAAAAAAAATCTAATAATCAGATTTAAAACTGGGCAAAAGACCTGACTAGATATTTCTCAAAAAATACTTATAAATGGCAATCAGGTATATAAAAAGATGCTCTACATCTTTGATCATTAGAGAAATGCAAGTCAAAACTACAGTAAGATGTAATCTCACCCCAGTTAAAAAGGCTTTTATGCAAAGCCAGGCAATAACAAATACCAGTAAGAATGTGGAGAAAAGGGAACCCTCTTACATTGTTGGCGAGAATGTAAATTAATACAACCACTATGGAGAACAGTTTGGAGGTTCATTACAAAACTAAAAATAGGCCAGGCATGGGGAGGAGGGAGGCTGAGGCAGGTGTATCACTTGAGTCCAGGAGTCTGAGATGAGCCTGGTAAACATGGCGAAACCCCATCTTTACAAAAAAAATACAAAAATTAGTTGAATATGGTGGTGCACAACTGTAGTCCCAGTTACTAGGGAAGATACAGCAGGAGGATCGCTTGACCTCAGAGGAGGAGGAGGAGAAAGAAAGAAAGAAAAAGAAAGAAGAAAGG